GCGCGGTGGCCACAGCGTGTGGTGAGCCGGTGGGGATTTCGGGGTGGCGTCACGGTTTGGGGGTTTGGGGGGTTTGGGTCGTTCTCCGAGGGCCCCCCAGACAGCGCGGTGGCCACAGCGTGTGTTGAGCTGGTGGGGATTTCGGGGTGGCGTCACGGTTTGGGGGTTTGGGGGTTTGGGTCGTTCTCCGAGGGCCCCCCAGACAGCGCGGTGGACACAGCGTGTGGTGAGCCGGTGGGGATTTCGGGGTGGCGTCACGGTTTGGGGGTTTGGGGGTTTGGGTCGTTCTCCGAGGATGTTTCGGGTTGGGGCCTCCAGGGTCCCAAAACCGTGCGGTGACGAACCTCGCGGTGAGGTCGTTGGGGATTCCAAGAGGTCACTGTGCGGTCTGTCGCTGCATCGGCGTGGGCTTCCGAACCGAAGAGCCGGTCGGGTCCGATTCGCTCCAAAGGAGCACAACTATGCAGATTCGTTTCGTTCCTCCCCCTCGCCCCCTCTCCCAGGGGAATGAGAGCAGTCACAGGAGGTGGGGGGACGCAGTCCAGAGGCGATGCACGGGCGAGTCGCCCTGATCAGGGAGGTGTTGGAGCGAGCAGTGGAACAGAGAAGGGGGGCTATTAGTCAGGAGGGAAAGAAAGACACAGACACAATGAATCGTCGATCCCCAGGAAATATGGGAAAATATGGGAAGTGGGGTGGAAGACGAACACCAAGAAAATATCAGAAAATATGGTGAATCCTGTCATTTGTGTGTCTTTATTTAATCGCTTCGCTCATTCCGCCGGCCCCCATCGAGCGCTCTTTGGGGCCTCTTGGGGGCCTCTTTGCGGCCTCTGGGGGGGCCTCTTAGGCCTTTTGGGGGCCTCTTGGCGGCCTCTTGGGGGTCTCTTGGGGCCTCTTGGGAGCTTCTTGGGGTGTCTTGGGGCATCCTGGGGACCTCTCGGGGCCGAGAGCTCGAAATCTCCGTTCGGGTCCCCCGTCTGGGCCCGCTCTTGGGGATGTCTTGGGGGCCTCTTGGGCCATCTTGGAGGCCTCTTGGGCTATCTTGGAACCCGCTGGAGCCGTTTGGGGGCCCTCTTGGAGTCCTCTTGGGCCGTGTTGGGGGGGTCTTGGGGGCCTCTTGGGCTGTTTGAAGCGCCGATAAGCCGATAAGGCGGAGAAGCCAAAATCATGAGAAAACCAACGGGCAATCATCAATTTTTGCCCCTGGAGGCTCTCTTGGGAGGGTTCTTGGAGGCCTCTCGGGGCGTCTAGGCGCCATCTTGGACGTCTTGGAGCGATCTTGTGGCATCTCGGACCCGTCGTCTATTGTCTTGGGGGCCTCTTGCAGGCCTCTGGGCCCTTCTTGGGGCTCTCTTGAGCGCCTCGAGGGCGGCGCCCAGACTACCCAGTAGACGCACAGCGCTATTTTTTAAAAAAATCCTGGTTCAACGCAATTCAACGTACTTGACATAGCGTATACACGCGTTAACATATACGCATCGTATTATGATGACGTTTTGATATGTTAAGAACGGTCGAAAGTAACATGTGGACTTAACATTATTTGTAACATAAATAAGACAACTAAAAAAACACGAAAACAAATAACACCATCTTCCAACATATTATGATTTATGATTATGGTGTTCGGGGCTTCTACCTTATAACATATTAACATGTTTCACTGCAGCTATCTGTCGTTTGGATTCCAGGTCTTGCGTTGGGCGGGGGGATCATCACGCGCCGTTGGCCCAACAAGGGTTGGCGAATTTATGCTAACTAGCCGAGGCCCCAATGAGGCATTGTCCGTTCCATTGATGTTTTGGTTCAGGCCGTTTGGCGCACTTTGCGCCCAGTGAAGATATGTCTGCCAGCAAAGGTCAGGGCCCACGGCCCTCGCCCCGCGCGCGCGCTCAGCGCCCTATGACTGTGCGGTTCGACCCAAACGTTCTTCTGGAGCCGTGGGACGCGTTGGCCAAGCTTCGCAAGCCAGGGTTCTCGTTCGATGGAGCATCTTATGCTGCGCTAGGTCGGTCTTTGAATCCCGCGCCAGAATCACTTGCCAAGCACGCTCGACCTTTGTCTGTTTTGATTGATGTAGCTCCCACGGGCTTCCCTTCACACCCATGCTTGGCAACTACGTTCTCCCTGCTGCACTACAAGCGCCAGATTTTCGGTTCCGACTTGCCCCCGAGCGCCTTGGCGAGCACGTGCGCGGGTGCTGCAGACTCTTGGAGGATAATGTGCAAGCACCTTTACACCATGAAGAAGGACGGATTCTCGGCGGACGTGCCTGCTGATGTGCAGGCGCTCTTGGACAAGATCGAGCTGCCCAAGCAAGAGCTCGGTGTACCTGCGGATGACGGGGACGCAGCTGGAGGGATCCCGATCCAGGCGTCGGACGTCGCAGGCCTCTTCCCCGACGTGCCCGAAGAGACAGAGGTGGAGGCTTCGCCGAACGACGTGGCACATGAAGTCGGCACTCTTGGAACCGTGGAGGTGGACGACGACGACTACGGGTCCGACGACTGCGTCACCATCGTTGGCGAGGTGTGCAATTGTCCTGCATGCACGCGGGCGGCCAAATCCACGGCGTCAGGCTCTACCGAGGTCCAGGTCGAGATCCCGTCGGCGAAGCGCGGCGGCCAGAGGCTCGAGACAGTGCCCCACGAGGAGGTTGGCGCGAAGGGCACGTTCGCCAAGCGGCGCGTCAGCGTCAAGCGCCCAGGCCCCGAGCTCGACAAGATCGAGCCGCCCGAGCAGCCAGATGCCAAGAAGCCGTGCGCCAAGGATTCGAAGGCCCCCACCGATAAGGTCAAGGATGTGATCAAGCTGCCTGGATGGATGGTCGTGCGGGCCCTGTCCAAGACGCGCACTGCCGAGGCCTACTTGATGCAGTCAGGCCCGAAGGGCTACGTCGTGGGCCTCTCTGAGAAGGTGGAGGGTTACGAGCAGAGGATCTCAGAGTTACAGGACGAGATCAACAACGGCCGCATCACCACCTTCGCCGAGGCGAAGGCGTACGTTGGCAAGAAGTGAGGCATGCTGCGAACTTGCGCAGTGTGGTCCAGTTCGTGGAGCCTCTTTTCGAGTGGACGTTCCCTGGCGTCTTGAGTGATAGTTTTATGTTCGACGCATTGATCCACGTACAATGTGTCAGGGGTTTGAGCTGTCACACGCACGTTCCATGCGCATGGGGGCGACGTGCCAGGATCGAGCAAACAACATTCCAGCGCAGCACGCCCTCCTCTCACACACAAATCTCTCAGCTCAAATTCACGTCCGAACCCCTCCGCCGAACTCAGTATATAGCATGATGTTGAAACTAACGCTTAACGCAATTTCAGCACCACCATCATCAGCATCATCCTCTCCTCCCCCTCCTCCTACTCATCATCATCCTCGTCCTCAACTTCCCGAAAACGCTATGCGTCACGAAGACAAGTAAAGTGGCAAAACGCTACGACCCCTTACCGATGCGAGATTTAGGGGTCATATCACCAGTGCTCCTTGCCAATGCTGACCCCTGAAAATTGTCGGCCGCATCTGGAATCCAGGGGCCCTCCTGCGAGGGGGATGGGGAGGAGGGGGAGGAGGGGTGGGGGAGGGGGGGGGAAGACGAGGATGATGAGGAGGAGGAGCGGATATGTCAGCACCAAAGATGATGGTGATGATGGTGACGACCACGATGCTACAACCATTTTGGCTCAAACCCGCTTCTTAGTCTGATCGGCCAACCTGCCATCCACGCGTTGCCCAGGCTGCCCCGTAGTGATCATGGCAGAGAGACGGGCCAAAGCTATGAAGGCCGAAGCGGCAACCGATGCCCCGACGTCGGCGGCGGCAGTCGCGGCCCCCGTGAAGACAGAGTGCGGCGGTGGAGAGCAGCTGAGCATGGTGCAGCGCCTCTTTGGGCGCTCGCGGGCGGGCCCAGCAGCGCCGCCGCCAAGGGCGGCGCGGCCAGCGCAGAAGCAGGTCGTGAAAGCCACAGCTGCCAAGTCGGCTCCTCCATTGCCATCGGCAGGCGCAGCTGCTGAAGTTGGTGCAGCCCCTGCTACGGCGGCTGATCCAACACCTCCCGCACCTGCAGTGGCGTCGCCCGTCGCCGCGCTGAAGTTCAAGGAGGAGGCCAGCAACCCCCCTGGTAGGATGGCAGACGGTTCGTCCTGGCTCGTGAAGGATAAGCCAACCTACGACAAGTTCTACTACCGCCTCGGCAACAATCAGATCATCGCTGACCTCTGGAAAGATACGCAACTCAAGGGCGAGGACGAGCAGCGCGCGTTCGTCAACTCCGTGATCCTGTCCAAGGCGGGCACGGTGCCCGCAGCCTTGCTCCAACGAGTCAGGGCGATCTCGAACGAGAAGGAGGGCAATACCACGGGTGAGTGGATGACGTTCAAGGCTGCAGCCGACAGAGATGGGGGGCAACTCATTCGTGAGCGTATTGCTCATGGGACGGTGATCACGAGGCCGAACCCCGAGCCCCCTCCCAGCACGCAGATTGAGCACCCCTGGAACTTGGAGGTGGCGTGCGTCAAGGAGGGGTGGTCCAAGAAGGTGAAGGTCACGGACGAGGAGCACTCAAGGAGGAGCAGGACGAGGAGAGTGGGGCGACCAAGGAGTTCTGCGAGAAGTTCTCGACAACGTGGAATGGCGTCGGCACCCAGTCGAGCTCGCCCACGCTGCCCGCGAACCCGCGCGTCGACGCCCAGCACCCGCAGAAGGACCCGCCCAGCGAGGGGGACAAGGTCGCCGTGGCGAATGCTCGCAAAGTCCACTCGTCATTCGACAAGACGGCGAGGGAGTGGCAGGGGCTGCTGGCGCGGTCCGAGGCGAACCCCTACACCAAGGGGGCGAAGTTCCAGACCGACTTGCAGGATAAGTTGGGCGTGTGCAAGCAGCTCGATAGCAAAGTGATGGCCCTCGAGATGCAGCTCCTCAGCCGGATCCCGCTCACCGACAGCGAGATCAAGCAGGCGGGCTTCGACGCGAACGGCCTCGTCGAGGAGATGAAGGAGGGCAAGAAGATCGCAGCTAAGATCAAGGCGTGGCTGGAGGACTGAGCGGCTAGGTCGCTCGAGCGCCCCGTGCGCGAGGACGGGGGCGACGGGGGCGGGGGGCGGATGATGATGATGATGATGATGAGGGGGAGGAGGAGGAGGAGGAGGAGGAGGAGGGGGGGGAGGTGGAGGGGGAGGAGGAGGAGGAAGAGGAGGAGGAGGAGGAGGAGGAGAAATGAGGGAGAAGGGAGGAGGGGGAGGGAGGAGGAGGAGGAGGAGTAGGAGGAGGAAGACGAGTCGTGAGACGAGCGAGGACGGCTCTCGGGAATTCGGAGAGGTCCACGCGGCGCTGGCCACGCGAACTACAAGTCCATGATTCTGAACATTCTTAAGAATCTTAAGAATATTCAGAATGAGTGTTTCGTTCAATGTTTCGACGATTTTCATTCTTAAGGTTCTTAAGATTCTTAAGAATCTTAAGATTCTTAAGAATCTTAAGATTCTTAAGAACCTTAAGAATGTGTCAGATCTTGGAGTGACTCAGCATTCGCGTGGTCCGTGGTGTCGCGTCCTCCCCGCGCGCCCCCGTCCGCCACTGCTGCTCTTTAAAGCGTGGCGGGGCCGCGCGCAAGGGGCTTGTGAGCGGGCCCTGGTTCGAGCAATCGCCGTGGCGCTCGACTGCTCGAGTGGCGGTGCAGGCCCGTGCGCGCTGGTCGCTCTGTGGGGTCGGAGCGCTTTGCGCGCGCGGCCAGGGGGCCACCTCTGGGGCGAGCAGTCGACAGCCCCGCTCACATCTCGCGATGCGGTGGTCTACCTAGTCGGGGACCCCGCTCTCTTAGCGCCCCCCGTCCCCATATCTCGCCCGCTCGACCCCCCGCCCCCTCAAGGCGGCGCCGCCGCTGCGTTGTGCGACGCTGGTTCGATGTTCACTTTGAAAAACAATAGCTTCGGTCACCGATGCGGGTTGCGCGAGTTGCCCCGCTAGCGCGGCCCGCGCGGCACTGGCATTTTGCCAGCAGCAGCGTAGGAGGGAGGGGCGAGGAAGTGGGATGATAAGGAGGGCCATGAGGAAGGGCGTTCGGAGGTCGGGCGAGGAGGATCAGGGAGGGAGACGAGGGCGATGAGGCGGAGGAGGGGATGATCATCAAACGTCAGAGTCCGCGCCGAGGGCAAGGGGGTGGGGCCAGCCCAGAGTCTTCCCAGCATGTTCTAAATCCATTAGAAGCTTGTTAGCTTTCGTTGAAGGTCCAAACGACATGGGGCCAGCCCAGAGTCTCCCCAACATGTTTCTAACCCATTCGAAACATGTTAGCTTTCGTTTGAGGTCCAAAACAACAGCCGCCGTCCCCACCTAAACAGCTTAGCTGCTTGCCTCCTCTTCCCGCTGCTGCTTCTGCCTGCCCCTCCTCTCCTCCCGCTGTTCAAAGGTCTCTGGGTCGCCTCCGGCGTCGTAGACTCCGGAAGCGCCAATTTGCACCAGGGGGGGCGCCTGACGACCCATCGGGCCGCCGCTGAGGGGGGGGCCACTCTAGGGGTCGTCATCTCCCCATTGCCCCCAGGCAGGCCTTTGCATGGTCTCAGGCCCTGCATGCACATAACCAGCAGGGGCAGAATAGTCGACAAGCTTGGACTTCGGACTTGCCCCCCCAAGTGCAATTCTATTCCATTCCTCCCCCTTCTTCCTCTTACTTCTGGGGCCATCTGAAACCAACGCAATCCTCTCGCGCGTCTGGCCCCTCAAAGCGAATCTCTGGCATCAACGACCTTTGGCGTGGGAGAGGGGCACATCAAACCCAAACCGCCCGATCCCCCCCCCCCGCCCCATGCCCATCACCTCCCCGCCCTCCCCCATCCATCCACACCGCTCTTCCGTTCCGCAGCCATTTTGGCTCAAGATGTTGAGCAAGCTCTGGGCCAGTCCCCCCAAGAGGAGGCGCACTGCAGAACAGTCTCGCGGAGGATGGCGCCAACGCTTGTCGCAAGAAGAGGTGGTTGCAGATGACGGCGGGGCCCCGATTGCATCCGAGCTCGTGGCAGGGACGCTGCTCGATTGGGCCGACGGGGTGACGTCTGCTGCAAAATTGTGCCACCATTCAAGTAATCTCATAAGAGATATGACTCGGGCGGGGCAGGAGCCCCACCCAGCGCTGGTTAAAGTTGCTGGCGCAGGCCAGGGGCCCCACGCCCAGTCTGGATTGAAAGAGTTGTTCGACGGTCTTGGCTTAGATGCACTGCAGTCGCCTGTCCCTGATGCAAGGGTGGCGGCCGCGATGCTGAAACCATCAACAGTTATACGGCCCCAGAGGGCCGAGGCAGATGGAAATCCATCCTCTTGGTTTCAAAGAACGATGAGGAGTCCTGCTCGAACGAATTTGGACTTCCTCATTTCAACGCGGTTGAGCCATGTCGAGATTGTCGATGCAACAGTTCGGACCGCCCATACACAGACTTGCGAAGGACAGCAGCATGGCGAGCCACCACGCCCGTGGCACACGATGCTTGGATGGGCAGAGTGCGCCAACCACTCCATGAGCTTGTTCGCGGCCATTACTGCTGCTCCCCGTTTTTTTCTTCATCGACGTGATGCATTTATGCGACTGCAAAGGAATTGGGTGCATCGTGATTGGCGGCATTGCATCTTTAGCGCTGGAGCTCCCTGCTCTGGGCCACTCGCAAGCACAGCGCTTGCAACGAGTGAACGATTACATGTCGGCCTGGTACGATGCCCGCCCAGGCGTGCACCGACTCCCCCCGTTACGTTTGGCGCAAATGAGGCATGCAGGGTGGTGGGAGTTGGGCGGCCCAGTGGCCAAGGCCGCAAACACCAGATGCGCGGCCCCTTTGTTCCGAGACTTCGCGGCCGATCATCTCACGGGCCATGATGAGGGGCCGTTGGCAGCCCAGCTTGGAAGGCGTTGGGCGGATTTCTATTTGCTGATTTACTCTGAGGGCATGTTCATGCCAGAGGACAAGGTCGCCAAACTGGATGACATCTGCCTTGACATCGGTGCCACGATGATGCAGTTGAGAGCGAAGGCAAGGCGAAGTGGCAAGCTGCGATGGAAGATCACACCAAAGACTCCCAGGCTCCAGCACGTGCCAGCATATGCGCAAATCGTGAATCCGAGATGGGTCCAGAACTACTCAGAAGAAAGTTCCGTGGGTACAAATACAGCGATCTGGCAGAGATCGATGCGTGGACGATACACAATGAGTATCCAACATACTGTGTTGTTGAAGCGGGTACTTGGGCTTCTCCTGAGGTTGGAATCATCCTGAAGCACGCTCGGTTTTTTTTTTCGGCGACTCCGAAGTCGCGCACGCACTGTTTGGCAGGCGCACGCACTATTTGGCAGGCACTGTTGTAGCAACATGAGCACGATGAGCAACGTTCCTGAGGAGGATGAGTAGGATGATCACAACTACGAAGCTAACACCGACTACGATCATTACTACTACTGCCACGGTTATTGCTTCAAGTGTTGTTACGCCTACTAGCGCTAGCAAAGCTGCTGCTGGTCCTTCCCCATCCCCTCCCTCCCTCCCTCCCTCCCTCCCTCGTTCTAGCAACACCCCCTGGCATGTTACTACCATGGGGCACCCAAGTAACATCCCCTCCTCCTCCTCCTCCTCCTCCCCCTCCTCCTCCTCCTCATCCTCCTCATCCTCCTCCTCCTCCTCCTCCTCCTCTCTTCCTCCTCTCTTTCTCCTCCTCCTCCCCCTTGCCGTGGTCGACTGTCTGAGCTGGCATTTGTCTGCTGCTTTACGCCGTGGTGGGCACACTCTGCTGGCGAGCGCCAGCCTGCCCTTTTTCCGACCAGGCTGAGGTGGGCACTGCAAAACATCAACGCAGCACGTAGATAATACTAAGATAAATAAGCGAATCATACTAAACAAATACAATATGATAAATAAGACTTAGGTTACACGAACTGTGAATGATAATATGATGGCAAATTCTTAAATACGGGACGCATCATATTAATATGATAGACTAGCACGCGCATTTCTTAATGGAGATAACAGGACTTTAAACAGGTGTGTTAACTTGCACGCGAGATATTAACTTGCATTCGCTGCGACATGTTGCAAACTAGCACGCGCAAAACTTAACGCTCTTCAAATCAGCATTTATAACATTAACTCCTGGGGTCTATTGGGTATCTGGCCCGAACGTCCCGGGACCGTCCCGGGGTACTTTTCGTCGGGGGATCCTTAGGGGCAGCCCCGCGCGCGCGAAGTAGAAGTATTGTTGACCAGTTACCGGAGATCTTAGCACGCCGCTGGACCGTTGGACCGGCGAATTTGTGTGTCCCTGGGCCCCTTCAATTAGAGCCTTTTGGCAGCTCGCTTGGGCCATTCTGGGGGCCGTCGGGGTTCTCCTGGGACCCACGCGGGAGCCTCTTGGGGTCCTCCTGGAAGGCATGCGAGCCATCTTGGTGGGAATCGGTCAAAGTACGAGGTCCAGCTTGAATAAGGAACACTTACTTTTCAAAAGGGGCTCGGTCGTTCATTTGGTTTGCATGCGTTCCGCTACCTTTTTGTCAGCGAGCCCCCCTGGTGTTCCTTCGGACGTCCTAGACTTACTTGGAAAACAGGGGCTTCGTTCCTCTTTTGTCGTTTCTTAGATCAGGCCGAATACTGTAAGGAAGTTCTCGTTTACCCCCGCCTCTCTGGAGCCTCCAAAATCGCCTGTTGGGCCCTCTGGGGTCGCTCTGGGGGCCGTCTTGGAGCCCTGCCTTTGGGCGCTCTTGGGCCATCTTGAGCACATCACGTGTTTCCGAGACGGTTTGGAAGGATGTTGGCCTCTCCGGAAAACATCCTTCGGTCCGTGGCCATTCGTGGCCGTCTTGGAGCAGTCTTGGGAGCATCTTGGAGCCAGCCTGAAGCAACGTTCTGATGTCTTGTGCCATCTTGGAGGTCCTCTGGGACTCCTTTGTGGCCATGTTGGATCCAACTTGAGCCATCTTGAGCGTTCTGACCGCTCGCGGTCCCCCCCCCGACCCGCAGACCCAGGTGGAGGGGGTGAAGGGGGGACGGGAAAGGGTAAAGTCCTCCCCGAA